AGTCATATACAATGAAATTGGTATCAGTTCTGTTTTAGTCTGTTGTGTTTTATTATCAGCAACACTAAATACAAAGGAGATAATAGAATAGTATTTTCAAAATATTGATGAGTAAAGAACATTGACCTTGAACTTTATATTCAGTCAAACAATAAGGCAAAACTGATGCATATAAAAATGTTTTCTGATCTACACACTGCTCGAAGTTTTGCCACATAAAGACCAACAGTAAAAACCATTGCGTCTGATGTACTTAAATAAAAGGAGCAAAAATCTAAAAAATGCTCTAAGAAATGTACAAAGTGAAAGTGATCAAAACTGATACAGTTTTTATTATCTGTAAAACTACGTAAGATCAAATAAAAAGAGAAAAACATACCCATAATAATAGAAAATTAAATTCTATATATACTATTAACATCATAGATTTGGGGCGGGAAATACATGAGCACTCTAAGTTCTTGTCTTTGTTAGGGAAAAGATATAGATACAAACTTTAAAAGTAAAAAAGCATTAAAAAAAAACAGAAAAAGTGGGATAAACTAAATAAGACTGTAGAAACAGTTCAAATATAGTCATAGTTGTAATAAATATAAACTAAATTCACCTACTAAAAGACAAAGATGGACAGCTTAGAATTAGGCACACCTAAGCATAAAGACATGTGAAAGTTAAAATTTAAAGGACAGGGGAAAAAATCATATCAGTCAAATACTTATCAGAAAAAGTTGTATAGTAATATTAATATCAGACAACATACAGCATTATTAGGGATGAAAATGGCTCCATATGATGATAAAAGATTCAATTTACCAAGAAGACATACCAATTTTAGACACATATGGACAAAATATCTTCCAAATATATAGAGCAAAAATTATATTAAAATATATATTAAAAAATAGAATACATGAAGACTGATAAATCCACTATTAGAGTGGGAGATTTCTGAAATATTCCTTTAAATTATTGAGAAGCTGGGAGAAGCTAGCCTAATTTTATATATAATGTGTGTATACATACATATATGTAGGAGAGGGAAAGAAAAACTTGCATCCAAAAACAGAATATATGCATACATTTACATATCAGACATTTATGAAAATTGGTCAGGTACCATGCCATAAAAAAAGCCTCAACAAATTTCAAGAGATAAGATCATTATTAACAAGCTGGTAGACATTATGAAATTACAAGAGGAAGATATGGTGTAATGTGGGGACCCAGGCCCAGATCCTAGGCTAAGACCCCCGCCCAGAGGAATGAAAGAAACTTCTGCTTCAGCAAAAATTAACAAAGTATCTTGTCAAGAGAATGGGAAAAGATAAGCTAGGTATGCTTTATAGCTTGCTTGTTAGGGAAAAGATAAACTAGGCATGCTTTATAGCTTGCTTGTTAGGGAAAAGATAAGTTAGGTATGTTGTTAGGAAAAGATAATTAAGTCCTGATTTATAGTTCGTTAGAAGAAAATAAACTTGCCAAGTTTTATGGCTAGCTAGAAGATAAGTTAACTCTGTTAAAATTTTTTCTCTTTTTACTCACTAACCGCTTTTTTTGCTTCTGTATCCAGCTTCAGCTATAAATTATATATATATATATATATATATTTATATATTTATATATATATATTTATATATATATATAAATTATATATATAAAAAATGTATCCACCCGCCAGGACTTGTGGTCCGCTCTCTCTTTTTTAATGAGACGGACACCAAGCTTGGTAATAAAGCCTTTGAAACGAAAACTCTTTGTCTCAGTTCTTGTTAATGACCTGCTCCCCAACAGTATAATACTTCCCAAACTCAGTCACAGGATTCCTGTCTTCCCCCATATTCTTTTTCCTTACAGAATGCCTATTCACATACCCAGGGACTTTTCTTTTTGAAGAATTTATAGTTGCCCTAATAAATATTCATTCTTGCTTGTTTGAGGCTTCTTTCATGACCCATTGGCATTTACTCTACAGGCTTTGGAAGCTTGCAAGGATGCTGGCTTGGTGAAATCTCTCGGCGTGTCCAATTTTAACCGCAGGCAGCTGGAATTAATCCTGAACAAACCAGGACTCAAACATAAGCCAGTCAGCAACCAGGTACAGCTTGACAGGGGGGGTGGGAAGTGGTGATGGGGGGAGCAGGGGAGACCGGAGAGAGGACCTCAATGTTTACTTAATAGAAAGAACCCTGGGCTAGGAGTCAGAAAGTCTTGTGGTTACTCTACATACTCATATATCTTATCATAAGGCCCTTATCATAAGAAGTCTTTTAACGTCTCTCAATTTATGTTCCTTAAAAAAAATGAAAGTTCAAATTCAGACAAAAGTAACCCCCCAAAAAAATTTTTTAAGAAAACTAATGAAGGGGAACAAAACCTGCCAGAGATTAAGACACGTAGAGCACTAATAACAACGTAAGATTAGCGCAAGCACCAACATATAGATAAATATAAAATAAGAAATATCTTAGAAACAGGCCTAAGTATAACAAAAACTTAATGTAAAATAAAGGTAACACAAACTAATGGCAAAAGGATGGATTTTTCAGTAAATGGTGTGGGGAAAAATGGCTCATTATGCGGAAACACTATAGATCTTTGCATCATATCCTACTTCAAAGTGAGTGTCCCTATAATCAAGAGTTAAAGAGAAAGAGGAAGTCATTTGTAAATACTACAAAAGAATCTTAGTTTTCCAGAGTTATGGATAAAAAGGGAAGCCGTGGGAAAACCATAAAAAGATTATCATGCTAGGCGAAATAAGTCACACAGAAAAAGTCGAGAGCCGTATGATTTCACTGATGTGTGGGATATAAAACTGAAAGCAACAAAGGAACAAGACAACAATAAAGGAACAAAAACTCATAGACACAGACAATCGTGGTTGCCAGAGGGGATGGGGGTGGGGAGTAGATGAAGGTAAACGGGGTCAAACATATGGTGATGGAAGGAGAACTGACTCTGGGTGCTGAGCACACAATGTGATATACAGATGATATATTACAGAATTGTACATTTGAAACCTCTGTAACTTTACTAACCATTGTCACCCCAATAAATTTTAAACAAACAAACAAAAAGAAAAAGATCAGTATAGTAGTATAAAAATGTTAAATCTAAAAATATTAGAAACAAAGAGAAAACAATTATATCTTTAATATAATAGAATAGAAAAACGGGTTCATATCTTTGTGAATTAAAAGCCCAATAAAAATCAACGAGAAATATCAGTGAGAAATAATACTAATGCTCAACAGAAAAATGGGCAAAAGAAATGAACAGAAATTTGCAGAAGACAAACTGCCAGACTGGTGAACATATTAAAATGTTCAATTGCACGAGTAATTACAGAAATTTAAATATAAGTGTGATTTTGTATTGTATATCAAATTAGCAAAGCTTTTGTTTTTGTTTTTTAATATAATGCTCTATGTCAGCAAGTGAGGAAGTGTTGGTGAGTACAAACTGGTTCAGCCTTATGGAAAGCAATTTGGCAATAAGTATCAAGAGCCTTAAAAATGTTCACAGTCTTCTATTTCTAGGAAACTATCTACATGAAAAAAAACCCAAACACCCATATGTGTCTTTGTCACAGCACTGTCTACCATGGAAAAAAAGAAAGAAACAAACAAAATATATAAGAAAAATTAGGGAAATGTTTAAATAAATTATAAAACATTCATATTATGTGACATCCTAATAAAAGATGTTCTTGAGTCATTTTTGAGAAAAAGAAAAATGGCCTTGATAGTAAGGACTAAGATCAAGATACAAAATGTAATATACAGTATGGAGGTAATTAAATTCTTTAAAAATACATGCATAGAAAAAAGATTGGAAAGAAAGAAACACTACCAGTGGCTATCTCGGGCTGTGAATTTTACAGGTGACATTTTGTTTTCCTCTTTATGCTCTTCTGTATTTTACAAGTCATTGGTTGTGGGCATATATTAGTTTTATGATCACAACAAAGCACTATTATCCATCTTATTTCATGAGGCTAATGATACCCTTCCCTTTTCACCCTACTTCATAAAAGATTAAGAAGCTAGACTAAACAAGCCTCTTGGACTGGGTAAATATTTACATTATGGGGTGATGGTTGGCTTGTTTGGTTGATTCACTGTTTTCAGTAACTCAGAAGCGTCTGGTATGAGTTCATAACAGCAAGAATGAATTATTACCTGTACCATGACAACAGCCCACAGCTAAAATAGAAGTGTTGCTATTTTGAAGGACTACCCTGACACCTAAGCTCCTATTATATACCTTATCCTCTCAGAAATAGAGGAACAACCTTGGACTTCCTAACTGACCTCAACCCATCCCTTTATTCCTACCCTCCCCCTCACCAGCACATCTCCGGCCTGTACCCCAAAGAACAACACTCTGTCATAAAAACACTGAAATCACAAACAGGTTTCTTCTTACAAATATTCAGAGAAAGATAGTGACTTTTTTTTTTTAATCTCAGAATGAAAAACAGAGTAAACATTGGACAGTGTGTATCCTCCTGCAAAGGAGGAAATACCCTGGTCGGTTAGCCCATTGGTCAGCTTCACAAATATATCCCAAGAGAGAAGCCAGACATATCGAAAATCACAGCCTGAACCATTCATGTGTTCTGGGGTGTTTGAAAGCCGCGTATATCAATACACTGGAGATGACATGGCTCAAAGTGCAGGTCTACTGGCCCCCAGCCATTAGCCTGAGCACTGGGTGGGACCATCTACACTCCAAAGATATAAAATGGGTAACTTTCGGTGTACAAGGGCAAGCAGTTTTCCATCCAGGAACACGATGAAGATACTGTGGGCATTACACAGAGTGAAAACATTTTATGTGGAAGAGATACAAATCTGAAGACCTTGCATAATTCAAACTTCACCTATTTCAACACTAATTTTCCCATTAAGATAAATCTACAGTAAAATTTGCCAATTTTTGTATTTTTTCATAGACTTCGTGAACAAAGTCACATCAACGATGACCTCACTCTACAGTCATTCTCAGAGCCTGAGTATTCCTGGCTTCCTCGGTACTACCCACAATGCCCATCTAAAGAAAGGGGTCTCCAGGCTCCACCCCCGGCTTAGTCTATCTGAAAGCCTTCGTGGTGGGCAACTTGTCATGTAGCATTTTCCCAGACTAGTTCAAAGGAGGCTACAGATCTACCTTGGGCCATTTAAACTCACACAAAGTTCCAACACCTAACTCTACAATGAAGAAAAGGAGGGAGGGAAGGAGGGAAAAAGGAAAGATCTCCAAATTCTTCAAAGTGTCTCCTGACCCTGTTCACCATGCCTAAGACACAGGGACTCAATGACTATTTGTTGAATGACTTAATAAAATGAAAATTCAACACAATGTTTTTACAGAAAGACAGAAGAGGATGGGGTTCATTAGTGAAAGGGCTTTTGCTATTTTCCTTCATGGGTTCTGTCCAGCTTCTTAACTTTACCTTGGGAGATTTTAATATCTAAATTCAGCGCTACCAAATAGTGTTGTCGAAGCCCCGGACATGTCAAGACGCTGACAAGTTACATCAAGTTTACATTGCAAGCAAGGGAAAGTAAAGACTGCATCTCCAACGGCCCACGAACAGCTGTAACCAGTCCCTAGCAAAAAAAAAAAAAAAAGGAAGGCAAGTGTGCTTAGATACTTGGAAATAAGGACGTTCCAGGGCCTGATGACGTCAAGTCCCCGTGACGTCAGAAACCATCACCACCCTCTGCCCTATACTGAGCACCCAGTCCCAGGCTCCTCAATAAGGATCATTCCCTGGCCTGAAATGACCCCCACCAAGCAGCCGTCTGAAGCCCAGACCACAACAATGTGCATCATCAACAGGGACATTCCCTAAGCCTGTGGTCCCGTCCTCTCTGTATAGGTGTTGTTTTCATTCATTTAACAAATACTCATCCCGCAGCTGCCTGATGCCAGGCACCTTGCTAGGTGCTAGGTGTGCAGAAGCGACCAAAGACAGATGTAGTCCTTGCTCTCATGGCAATAACTGTCTAGAGGGGAACACACATTAACCAAACAATCACAAAATTGTTAATTATAATTAGAAACTGAGATAAATGCTATGAAAAGAAGGAATGTGGTTCTCCGAGTTCATATGTACTTGGATCATATTAAGTTACCCGCTCCCACCCCCACCCCCAGAATTTCCCTCACTGAGTGTCCCTGTAGCATTATGTCCTAGAATTTTTATCTAAGAACTATCTATGCAAACTATTATATTAGATTATATTATGATATTATATTATGAGTATATATTATATTAACTCAAAAGTTTTTGCTAAGTACATGTTTCTAGTGTGTTGTCCAGTGTAACTCTGTCAAGTCCCAAATATGTTTAGTCACAATTTGGTATTCACATACCTGTTTGTTCTGTTTTTAATTGCATTAGCCTTATTATGTATATCTTTTGCTACAAACCATACAAAATCTTTTTTCAAAGGGTAGGTTATAAAAATGTTCAATATACATATAAACACACATACATACATACATACATACATACACGTATTTAATGGGCCAGAGATAGGAACCTGATTAGAAAGGAGTCCTTGTAGGAAAATTAAATGTTGTGTTTTAAACAAGCATGCAGGCATTAAGTAAAAAATGTATACTTAGTCTCTAAGCAGTGGTGTGATCAATTATGTGTTTTGGAAAAATTAGTCTACCAATAACAAAGAAGACTGAAAACAAAAAAGGGACTAAAAGTGGAGAGTGATGTTGGGAGTGGGAGCGGGTCAAGGAAAGAAATGCGATGAACACTGTGATTCCTAACTTATTTTAATGTCTATGAGAATGTGCCACTTTTCAGAACTATTTAAAAAAATGTTCTAAAGGGATCGACATCAGAAAAGAAAAAAATATACAGCAAATTAGAAAATAGAAGATTCACCACTAAGAGCCCCAGTTTACTTCATCCACAGCATTTCCTTGTGCCTTCTAGACATATAACTTAAGAATTCAATATTCCAGATGGTGAAAATAATAATTATACACTTAAAATATGTTAATTAGGCCTTGGTTAACTTTAATTAAAAAGAAAAGCACAGGTCAAAACTATCATAGTGTTTAAGAAGAAAGTTGAGAAGAGTTTGGTTGACAAACAAGTATTTTTAGTGCAGGAATCTTGTCAATAAGATAATGAAAATGAAAGTGGCCTTACATTTGGTGGTGTAAAGAACGCTCAGTCAGGGGGTGACCAGTTAGCTCAGCTGGTTAGAGCATGGTGCTGATAACACCAAGTTTTCAGTTTGATCTCCGCATGGGCCACTGTGAGCTGCGCACTCCTTTAAAGAGTCAACTATGCCATTGTAGCATAAAAGCAATGTGTAACCAATGAGCATGGCTGTTCCCCAATAAAATAAATAAATAAATAAATAATAAATAAAAAGAACTCTCAGCCAAGAGGACAAAATCCATCTTTAAATGTAGTTTTATACTTGTTCTACCTCTTGTGACAATATTCTTAGATGTTCGACAGCTAGAGACAGAGGGCTGCTGTAACATGTCACTTCTACTTGTAACATGTCACTTCTACTTACTGAGACCGTAATCTGAGCCTTGAGACTGTTCGTTATGGAAATTGTGTTTGCTAGAATGTCTGCTATAAATAACTGCATCCCTTCACTTACAGTGTTTAACTATGATAGGTACAGAACATCGAATTTGTTCCCCAATTATTTTAGAATTCAGCCCCAAAAGGTGATCTCACTAAGCTTGTTTAAATTAATCTCACCGGCATATAAACAATGGAAGTTTCCTTGCTAGGAAAAATATTTAGGATTCGTCTCATTATCTATAATACCTTTAAATGGACTTTATTGAAGGGCTTTTTTAAAACTATGTACGATTGCATGCATCTACAAGGCCTTAATTTTGTGCTCTCCCCTCCAATGCGACCATGTAGGTTGAGTGCCATCCATATTTCACACAGCCAAAACTCCTGAAATTTTGCCAACAGCATGACATTGTCCTTATTGCATATAGCCCTTTGGGGACCTCTAGGAATCCGATCTGGTAAGTAATGCTATATGTCTCCTCAGGAAATGTTTCCTTTGATGTCAAGAATGAGGCCAACGTGAATGTCTTGATTGGAATGTGATCTTAAGAAAGTAACTGACCTCTTCAAGTCATTCTCCACATATACAAATTTAAGCTAATAAAACCTTGCTCATTTAGATGTTAGAAGAATAGGCTGTACTATGGGGATGAGCTTACCTAACAGCGACTAAAACTCAGGAAATGCTCCGTAAATGTTAGGTTAGGTCTTATTTGACCAAGAGTCTCTATGGCCCTATTCTGAAATTTTAGAATTTTTTGATCTCTGTAGTCAATGGAGACACTTCTACTGCGATGTGCTTCACGGACCAAAGTAGAAATTTTTCTGCTCTAAGATGATTCCAGGAGCTGGGCCTCTGTTTCTTCCACTGTGGCTTCCTGCTCCCTCCATATGCCTGCTTCTAACCCAGTTCTCCCTGTAAGATCCAGCAAAGAAACACTCTTTACCCGCTACAAGAGGCAGTTCTGTAAACTTGCCTCTCTTGGTCTTCCCATACTCAGAGCAGATCTTCATTGAGGACTCTGCACTCAGAGAAACTGGTTACAGGGGACCCAAAGTGTCCTGGTAGGTTACCAGGTGAACGGGAAGACAGAGGAAAGGAGTTAACCATTGGCTCTCACTGCTCCAGCTAAAAGGATTCATGTTTTGATATTTTTTTCTTTTTAAGGGTGAATATATCTTCCCCACCCTTGTTAAAGGATGTGCTTCTGAACTCCCTGGGGAAGAAGTACAATAAGACAGCAGCTCAAGTTGCTCTGCGTTTCAACATCCAACGAGGAGTGGTTGTTATTCCTAAAAGCTTTCACCCTGAAAGGATCAAAGAAAACTTTCAGGTAAGAGAACTTCTTTTGAAAATGTAAAAAGTAGGGTGTTTTGTTTTGTTTTAATTAGAGAATTTTCTGTTCAGATTAATAAGAAAATTGTAATATCTTCATATTTTATTTTATGCCCACTCCCTGACCCACTCTGCCCATATCCAGATTTAATTTTAGCTGAATTGGAGACAGCGCCTAGTACTTCAGGGATTGCTTTGCTGCTTATCCGCTATGGGTATACTTCAGAGGTATTGCTGGTTCAGTTCCAGCCCACCTCAATAAAGCATATATTTCATAATAAAGCGTATAAAGCAACAGACACATTTTTTGCTTTCCCAGTGCATATAAAAGTTATGTTTACACTACACTGTAGCCTATTAAGTGTGCAATAGCATTATGTAAATGTACATACCTTAATTTAAAAATACTTTACTGTGGAGTGGCAGGTTAGCTCAGGTGGTTAGAGCTCAGTGCTCGTAACGCCAAGTGGCCGGTTCGAACCCCACGTGGGCCACTGAGCTGCGCCCTCCACAACTAGATTGAAACAACTACTTGACTTGGAGCTGATGGGTCCTGGAAAAACACACTGTACTCCAATAAAATTAAAAAATAAAAACCTTCATTGATAAAAAATGCTAATCGTCATTTTTGCATTCAGCGTGTCATAACCTTTTTGCTGGTGGAGGGTCTTGCCTCAATGTTGATGGGCTGCTGGTGGTTGCTGAAGGCTGGCGTGGCTGTGGCAATTTCTTAAAATAAGATAACAATGATGTTTGCCACATCAATTGACTCTTCCTTTCACGAATGATTTCTCTGTAGCATGTGATGCTGTTTGATAGCGTTTTACCAACAGTAGAACTTCTTTCAACATTGGAGTGAATCCTCTCAAACCCTGTGGCTGCTTTATCAACTAAATTTATGCAATATTCTAAATGCTTTGTTGTCATTTCAACAATCTCGACAGTATCTTCACCGGGAGTAGGTTCCATCTCA